CAAATGCTTTCTCTGCATCTGTTGAGATACTCATATGGTTTTTCTTCTGTAGTCTGTTAATGTGGTGTACCACATTGATTGTTTTGTGAACATTGAACCATCCCTGCATGTCAGGGATAAATCCCACTTGGTCTGGGTGGATGATCTTTCTGATGTGTTGTTGCATTCTATTGGCCAGAATTTTATTGAGGATTGTTGCTTCTATGTTCATCAGGGATATTGGTCTATAATTTTCTTTCAATGCTGCATGTTTTTCCAGCTTAGGAATTAAGGTAATGCAGAGAAAGCATTTGATAACATTCTTTCATTCTAAAACAAGAAACCTCTCTATAAATTATGTATAAAAGGAACATACCTCAAAATTATAAAGTCTATGAATGACAAACAAATAGCCAATATCATACTGAAAAGAAAAAAGCTATAATCATTTCTCCTCAGATCTGGAAAAGAAAAAGATGTCTACTTTCATCTTTCTTATTAAATATAACACTGGAGGTATTATAAAGTGCAATTGGGGAGGAGAAATAAATAAAGATCATAACAATTTGAAAAGAGGAAGTCAAAATATCCATGCTTGCAGATGACATGTAAACATTCTACAAAAAAGCTGTTACAACTGATAAAGAATTCAGTAACATTGCAAGTGACAAAATACACATATAAAACTACTAGCTTTTTTATACAATAATGATGAACTCAGTGAAATAGAAATTGGGAAAGAAATCCCATTCACAATGGCCGTAAAAATCAAATATTTAGGATTAAACTCAACTAAAGAATTGAATATCTCTACAATAAAAATTATAAAACATTGTCAAAAGAAATCATCAAGGGAGGGGCCAGCACTGTGGCGCAGTGGTTAATCCTCTGCCTGCAGTGCTGGCATCCCATATGGGCTCCGGTTCTAGATCCAGCTGCTCCTCTTCCAATCCAGCTCTCTGCTATGGCTTGGGAAAGCAGTAGAAGATTGCCCAAGTCCTTGGGCCCCTGCACCCATGTGAGAGACTGGAAGAAGCTCCTGGCTCCTGGCTTCAGATCAGCCCAGCTCTAGCCATTGCGGCCATCTGGGGAGTGAACCAGTGCACAGAAGACGTTTCTCTCTGTCTCTCCCTCTTACTGTCTGTAAATCTACCACTCAAATAAATAAATAAACTCTTTTTTTAAAAAAGAAATCATCTAGGGAATTAAAATGGAAAGTAATCCTTGTTCATGGATTGGAAGAATTAATATCTTTAAAATGTCTATATTACTTAAAGCAATCTACAGATTCAATATAAGCCCTATTAAAATACCACACACAGTCCTTACAGAATTAGAAAAACAACACGTAAATTCCTGTGCAATTACAAAAGACCCAAAATAGCCAAAGGTATCCTGAAGGGAAAAAAAAGAAAAGAAAAACAAAACCAAGATGAAGGCATATAAAGATAATTGAAAATGAATCATGATGAAGAATGGGATGGGAGAGGGAGTGGGAGATGGGATGGTTGCAGTTGGAAGGGAAGTTATGGGGGGTAAAGGCCACTATAATTCAAAAGATGTACTTTGAAAATTTACATTTATTAAATAAAAGTTAAAAAATAAAGTATTATGGCTGTATATTTTTGCTCAATAAATATTGACCAAATTAAAAAAAAAAAATTCTCAAGCTGACTTACCTCAAACGGTAGAGTTAGAAACATACCAGGGGATTCCAATTCAATCCCATCAAGGTGGCATGTACCAATGGCATCTCACTAGTCCCAGTGATCAGTTTCTGTTCACAATTGATCATAATGATAGGACTAAGAGTCAAAGGGATCACATAAACAAGACTAGTGTCTGCAAAGACTAGCTGATAGAATAAAAAAGGGAGAGAATGACCCAACATGGGAAGTGAGATACACAGCAGACCCATAGAATGGCAGATGTCCTAAACAGCACTCTGGCCTCAGAATCAGCCCTTAAGGCATGCAGATCTGGCTGAAATGCCCATGACAGTATTTCAGGCATGGAAAGCCAAGACACTCTGGGGGAAAAAAAAAACCTAAATGAAAGATCTCTGCAAGTGAGATCCCAGTGGAAAGAATGGGTCATCAAAGAAGGAGGTACCTTTCTCTGAAGGGAGGAGAGAACTTCCACTTTGACCATGGCCTTGTCTAAAAATTATCAGAGTCAGTGAACTCAGGGGGCTTCCATAGCCTTGGCAACTCATGACAAGAGCCTAGGGTGATTACTGAGGCCATAAACAAGAGTGTCAATTTGTTAAGTCAACAACAGGAGTGCACTTACTCCTCATGTAGGATCTTTGTCCTTAGTGTGCTGTACATTGAGATTTAATGCTATAACTAGTACTCAAACAGTATTTACTTTATGTTTCTGTGTGGCAGCAAACTGTTGAAATCTTTACTTAATGTATGCTAAAGAGATAGAGAGTATATAAAGAGAATCGAAAATGAATCTTAATGTTTATGGAGGGGAGAGGGAGTGGGAAAGGGGAGGGTTGCGGGTGGGAGGGACATTATGGGGGGGAAGCCATTGTAATCCATAAGCCGTACTTTGGAAATTTATATTCATTAAATAAAAGTTTGAAAAAAAATGTAAACTGTATTCAAGAGAAAAAAAAAAAGATTGAGGCATCATAATGCCTGACTAGAGAGTACACTATAAAGCTAGAGTTATTAAAAAATCATGGTACTGTTTTCCAGCACACAGATCAATGGAACAGAAAAGATAACCTAGAAATTAATCCACATACTTATAGTCAGCTGACTTTTTACAAAAATGCCTAGACAATACATTGAAGAAATGATAACATCTTCAATAAATGATGCTGGCAAAACTGGATGTATGGCTGTTAGAAGAATGAAATTAGATCCATTCTTCTCACCATATACAAACATCAAGTCACAGTGGATCAAAGATCCAATTGTAAAACCTGAGACTTTGAAGTTACTGGAAGAAAACATAGGAAAAGCATTCCAAGACATTGGTATGGGTGATGACTTCTTGAATAAGACCCCTAAGTACAGGCAACAGCAGCAAACTAAACAAGTGGAATTATATCAAATTCAAAAACTTCTGTAAAGCAAAAGAAAGATCAATAGAGTGAAAAGACATCCAAAAGAATGGGAAGAAAATATTTACAAGCTAGCTAACCAACAAAGGATTAATGTCCAGAATATATCAGCAAATCAAAAAACTCAACAACAACAAAATCCAATCCAGTTCAGAAATGGGCAAAGGACCTCAACAGACCATTCACAAAATAAGAAATACAAATAGCCAACAAAAACATGAAAAAATGCTCAACACCTCTAGCCATCAGGGAAATGCAATCCAAACCACAATAAGATATCACATCACCCATGTCAGAATGGCTATTATCCAAAAGACAGAAAGTAGCAAATGTTGGATAGGATGTGGCGAGAGGGGAATTCAGAAGCTGCTTGTGGGAATGTAAATTAGTGCAGCCACTGTGGAAAGAGATATCTGCACTGCTATGATTATAGCAACACTGTTCACAATAGTCAAAATACGGAATCAACCAGGGTGTCCACCATCAGATGAATGGATAAAGTCAATGTGATACACACACACACGTGCACATACACACAAAATGGAATACTGTTCAGCTGTAAAAAAAAAAAAAAGAATGAAATTCTACCATTTGCATCAACATGGATGTAACACGAGGACATAATTTTTAGTGAAACAAGCAGGTCACAGAAAACCAAATATGTCATGTTCTCCCTTATATGTGCAAACTAATCTTTAAAAATAAAAAAGAATTAAAAAAATGAAATTCCTGTGTGAATCATGGCTGCAAATATAGTTTTGTCAAACTTTTTTTTTATATCTTTGTCAAACCAGTGGTTAAGGATGACATACTACTATACTTTCAATGATGTGTAATTTTTTAAAAATTTACTGTATATATGTGAAATGGACATCTTTTCAGTTGGTTACTGCTTATAGCCCTTGCCTATATTCCTACTGAACTATGGTCATTTTGCTTTTTACTTATTGAACTCTTTATTTAGTGGAGTATTAAACATTTGACTATAATATAAATTAAAATGTTATCTCAAAAATAAGGAAGGAAGGAAGGGAAAAAAGAAAAGAAAAAAGCAAAGAAAGAACTGGGACAGAGGCAGGAAGGGAGAGAGGGAGGATTGGAAGCATTATATCCTTAGAATTGTTTCTAGGAACTGCATTGCATCTGTTCTTTATATTAATATCACATTAATATTAGAATTGATGAAAATTCTGTTGTAATTACCATGCATTTGCTATGACTCTGAGAATCTAATGTATTAATAAATTTTTTGAAACAAAAAAAACTAGAATCTTCCTTTATAAAATATTATGGACGGAATTCTATATGTGTCAGAGTTAAAGGTAAAAAAGAAACCATATGCCAAAAAAAGAAACACTCGCCACTTCCAATAATGGCAATAATTACATAAAAAAGTAATATAATTCATTACATACAAAATGATTATCATATAGAGGAACTAAAATTTAGTGTAATTAATCCCCAACATTGGTATAAAAATAAGGATATTTTGAGGAGTAATATGAGATTTCTCTCTCTGGAAGCACACAGGAATGATTGTGACTTATCAAGTACTGCCAAAAAGTTATTTGTTTATATGAACCTTAAGAATAAGATAATTGATCAAATTAGTAAATACTATCCTAACTTGTTAACTAAGCTAGTAACAACAATAAATTCTATTCTAACAAGATTCTGAAGTTCAAATTCTCTTCTGGGTTTAACATATCACATTCTTACAACCATGGAAGAAATGCTTAGTTCAGTAGGCACTGTATGACTGAATGAGAGTAAAGAGTAATATGGCTACAGAACTAATATATTTTGAAAGGTCATTGAACAATTACTGTTGTGTTTGTAGTAGAACAAATAGGAACTACCTAGACTCAGTTAAATTACTCTTGCCAATTCTCAAACCTCTTGAGTCTTAGCCTAGTTTTGGACTACTTCTTCCATTTCTTACCTATCCATTGTTCTTTGTCATCTTTCAAATCCTAAATTCCAGGAGAGCTCTAGTCTCTTCCATGTGTATCTTCACACTGGCAGAAACTTCCTTATTTCTGGGGTTATCTATATTCCCACCCTTCTAGAACTCTGACATCACAGTTAGCAATCTTCAATATTCCATACCTCCTGACTTAAAGGGAAACTCAACTTTCTTCAGAATAACTCCATACTACAGCCATATCAGAATAAATCAACTTATTTTCTCAAATTATTTATAGTTCAGGGTTGGAGTCATAGTTTCTTTAGGCTGCATAAACTCAGCGGTTTGTAAACAACAGAAATTTCTCAAAGTTCTGAAGGGTGGGAATCCAAGTTAAAGAGCCTACAGATTTGATGTTTGGTCAGGGTTTGCTTTCTGGTTCATAGTTATACTTCTCCATTTTGTTCTCAAATAGCAAAAGATATGAAAGATCTCCCTGGGGTCTCTTTTAAACAGGCATCATTTCCATTCAGAGGAGCTCCATCCTCATGACCTCATCATTTCTTAAAGGCCCCACCTCCTGATATCATTTCACTACAAAAATTTTAGGAGGACACAAGCATTCAGATCATAGCATTCCAATCATGACCTCAACTCATGTTCTTCTCACATGCAAAATATATTCATTCCACATCAATGGCTCCAAAAGTATTAACTCCTTCCAACATTAACTCAAAAGTCATTTATCAAGATAGCACCATCTAAATATCACCTAAATCAGATAAAGGTGAGACTAAGGTCCAATATATTTGAGGGAAGATAGTTCTCCAGCTGTGAACCTGTGCAATCAATTATGTTATATGCTTACATAATACTATAATGGGACACACATAGGACTGATATTCAAAAATGGAGAACTATAAAAGAAGAAAGAATAATAGGTCTCAAGCAAGGCTGAAACCCAACAGGGCAAACAACATTGAACCTTAAGAAGTAAGAATAACTATTTTGTCCTGATGCTTTTCTCTCCAGCTTACTGGGGTTGTAGTCCTACCTTCCAGACCCACTGTGGCAAAAATGCCACTTATGAACACACTAAGTGTGTTCATCCCACCCCTGTGGGATGCCAGTGTCGCAGCCAGAGGATTAACCTACTACATCACAGTGCTGGCCCTAAAACCTCCATAGTTTTGTATGATAAGGATTGAACCTTCAAAGATCTGAGTGACCCTGCCCACACTAAGTGGGAGGCATGACCTCCTAGGTAACATGGGATGATAATCCCAGAGTTTTTTTTTTTTTTATTTTTAAAGATATATATATATATATATAAAGATATATATATATCTCTATATAGATATATATATATATATATATAATTTATTTGAAAGGCAGAGTTGCAGAAAGATCAAGGGACACACACACACACACACACACACACAATCTTCCACCCATTAGTTAACTCCCAAATGGCTGCAACTGCTGGGGCTGAGCCAGGTAGAATCCAGGAGCCAGGAGCTTCTTCTGTGTTTCCCACAGGGTTATAGGGGCCCAAACACTTGAGTCATCTTCCACTGCTTTCCCAGGCACATTAGTAGGAAGTGGGATTGGAAGTGGAACAGCCGGGTCTCGAATCAGCACCCCTGTGGGATGTCAGTGTCGCAGCCAGAGGATTAACCTACTACATCACAGTGCTGGCCCTAAAACCTCCATAGTTTTGTATGATAAGGATTGAACCTTCAAAGATCTGAGTGACCCTGCCCACATGGGTTTGCCTGACCCTGTTGCAGCTTTAACACTGAGTCACATGTTCAATCTGGGGTCCATGCCCCATGCATTAACTGGGCACTGCACTAACAACGATTCTCTGTCATGACCTGGTACTCAGAGAGGCTATTGATTGCTGAACTGGTGATAGGAAGGCAGCCCTGATGGTTTCTAAATTGCCTTGAATCCATTATTACATTGTCTAGAACTATGGGTCCAAGATTCTCTGTAGAAGGCTAATCTGCTTATAATAGTTAGTCCATATCCCTTGTGTTCTCTCCCAAACAAGTGCTGTAACTCTTTTCAATATGGATAGGCTGGCCGGCGCCGCGGCTCACTAGGCTAATCCTCCGCCTTGCGTCGCCGGCACACCAGGTTCTAGTCCCGGTCAGGGTGCCGGATTCTGTCCCGGTTGCCCCTCTTCCAGGCCAGCTCTCTGCTGTGGCCAGGGAGTGCAGTGGAGGATGGCCCAAGTGCTTGGGCCCTGCACCCCATGGGAGACCAGGAGAAGCACCTGGCTCCTGCCATCGGATCAGCGCGGTGCGCCGGCTGCGGCGGCCATTGGAGGGTGAACCAATGGCAAAAGAAGACCTTTCTCTCTGTCTCTCTCCCTCTCACTATGCACTCTGCCTGTCCAAAAAAAAAAAAAAAAAATATGGATAGGCTAAGAATGTTCCAAATTGTAAGGTTTTGTTTACCATTCCATCTTTATATAATTTTTTTCTTTTTGCATTTTACTATAAGAAGTCAAAAAAAGCCATGCCGCAACTTTAACATTTTGCATAGATGCTTCCTCTGCCAAATACTCAATTTCATGGTTCACATGTTCTACCTTCTACAAAACACTAGGACATAAATACAGTTCAGCCAAATTCTTTGTCACTTTATTTATGTTTTTAATTTTTGTTTCTTCAGAGAGACAAACACTGAGAAATAGACAAAGGTTCATCTTCCATCTGCTATTCACTCCCCAAATACTCTATCCACGTCTCCCACATACATGACCATCAACTGCTTTGTCATAGAGCACACATTAAAGGAAGCTGGATTGGTAACAGAGGACCTGGCTCTCAAACCAGACCCTCTGATGTGAAATGCAAGTGTCTCAAGTGGTGATTATAGCACTGTGCCAAATGCCCATCCCTCTTTTTTACATTAAAGTAAGGATGGCATTTCCTCCATTGTTCAATAGAATGTTCCTCATTTCCATCTGATACCACATCAGTGATGGAACTAAGACATAAGCCTCAGCCATTCTAGCTCATTGACCAAGATAGGTAAAATCTGAATTTACCCTTTATCCCTACATCCTTTGAAGTCCTGAAATCTGGAGTTTATCCCTTATCCCTGCATCCCAATTCAGTCTCACACCATGTGTTGTTCCCCACCCCACCCCTGCATCCTTCTTCAGGTTTGGAAGTCAGTGGACCAAACTTGAAGAACCCACTTGAAGGAACTTACCTCTGCCTATTGCCCCGCCCCTCCTCCTCTGGACCCCTAGCCACCCAAGAAATTAAAAAGCCTAGCCTGCTGGGGTCCGGGCCTTCTGCCACTTGTTCAGTCTGTGGGTAGGCTGGCAGTTTGTCACCTCCTTCTGAAAATTTATTTATTTTCTTAGAACAAATTGTTAGGCTATGAGTTTGTATCCTGTCTCCTCTGTGATCTGTGGCCCTTTTCCTTATCATGAGAATGGCCTTTACCATTCATATTTTCTGTATTTTCTTTTGCTCAGGCTTGTATAACTAATTGCCATACCCTGTATTCCTCATAGTTGTGGCTTGATTTTTAGGGATATTATCAGAAGAATCAGTTAATTCATTTATAAAATTACCTCCTCTCCTGAGACACAAACTATCTTGTTATAATATTTGTCCTGTGAAACTCTTAACCCCCTCTATTCTCCATGGATATTCTCACATCATTCTTCCTCAAGCTCTGTTAGGTTCTAACCATACTTCACTTTATTTGGTCCCTAAAATGAACACATCTAATTGTTGCCTTGAAGACTGTATATTCTGGTCCCACTCTGATAGTATTCTCCTTTCTCAATCTGCTTCATATGCTTCCACACACAACGCTCCCTACTCATCTTTCTAGTCCCATTTTAAATACACTTAGCAAACAAAACCTCTGTTAATCAGGGACTCAGCAGGAAATAAATAGTATAATTAAAGGAGAGCTTAACCAAGAGACTATTTATAAAATTGTGGGTATATTGTAGGGATACTAAAGAGAAAATGAGGTTCCCCAGGGCTAGTTATACCCCAAGACAACAAGAAATGAGAGAATCGTGTAGAAAGAGTGTGCTAGAGAATTGCAGTGATCCATAGCCAAAGAACAAAAGCATCCCATGATAGCCATGGAGGGAAGGAACTATAGGAAATAATGTAACTTATTTTTTCCTTCCTATCTCTAATTTGTTAGAGTACCTCCACTGGCCAAATCCAACCAAAAATCATGTGACAGAGAACATTCCATATAGGTAAGCTTCCTACAACAGAGAACAGATCTGCACTGACATCCCAGATTCAGTTTTCCATATTCAAAAACATTATAGCATTCTATATTTATCATTTTCTTTTCAGAGAACTGAAACTATAAATGGTCCCATTAGTTACAATCTCTTTCTCTGGATTTCAAGTTTTCCTGAAAGGAGTACACAATATCTAAATACTTTATAACAATGGCAGCAATTTAACTCTTGATTTCTACTTGCTTTCCACTTAGAATTTAACTTGTAAATGTAAATAATCTCCAAAGTACTGCTTACTATTCTAAAATGATCCCTTGATTTCCTCAGTCACGTAATAATATAGTTATATACATATTCATACATTATATATATAAATGTAATGAACACACATACAGACACACATACACATATACACAATGAACTTGTCCAGCCCATTATCAGATGACATTTTGGGCAACAATGTACAAACAGTTTTTGTGTGTGTGTGTGGAAATTGTTGAAATCTTTACTTAGTATAGAGTTGGTCTTCTGTGTATAAAGTTAATTGAAAATGAATCAATGAAGAATGGGATTGGGAATGGGAGACAGAGGAGTAGGTGGGAGGAGTAGGGGTGGGAGGGCAGGCATTGTGGGAAGAATCACTATAATGCAAAAGTTATACTTATGAAATTTGTACTCATTAAATAAAAGATTTATTTGGGTAAAAACTGAACTGTTTACTAAAGGCCAGTGTGATTAGAACCAGCTGGGTGCTTACTGGATAGTGTAATAACTGTGTGTTCTATCACTGATTTTAGTAGTCAAGGCTATACATTGGACAATGACAATATTTTTTTTTAATATTTACTTATTTCTTTGAAAGGCAGACTTACAGAGAGGCGAGGCAGAGAGAGAGAGGTCTTCCATCTGCTGGT